GAAGTATACTGAGCCATAGCCAGAGTGTGGTGCTGCACCATCCTTGGTCTAGCCCCCTAAGGCTTTAAATGTAGTTTAAATGAGATAGGATCAGTCTCCCCTTATTTATTGGCCCCTTCCCTGCTGCCTGCAAACACACTCATATCTCTCTCATCCTTAAAAAATCCTCCCTTGATCCAGCATCCCAATTCCATATCTCTCTTGTCTTTTGTGGTTAAACTGCTGGAGAAAGCAATTTACAGTTGGTGTTTCCACTTCCAAACCCTCTGCAATCTGCCATCCACTTGAAATTTAACTGAAACTGTTCTTTCCAAAGTTACCACTGATCTCTTAATTGCCAGATTGATCCTCCTCCTTCTTGACCTCTGGGCAGTCTTTGACACTATGGAGCCTCTAGTTCATTTTTATCAAGGAACAATTATTCATTTTATCTCCCTCTCACCCCCAGTTGAACAACACAACAACAAAAAAGGAAGAATAAAAGAGAAAGCTTTCCTTACAAATATGCATCGGCCAGGTCCACAGATGCATCTTGAGCCCGCCCCCTCTGTTAGGAAGTGGGGAGCGCTTTTCATCGTGGGTTCAGCAGGCTTGGTCACTGCACTGCTCATTACCCACTTCTCTCTAGGTGTTTGGGACGCTGCTTTTTCTTGGTGTCCTTAAAGGTCTGTCCCAGGCCTTCTTCTCTTTTGGCTCTGTAGAGCTCTATCTCACTTGGCGATCTTATCAGCTCACAGGTATTCAATTATCATCTTAAGCAAAAGATTCCTAAAATCTGTCCCAAAAATCTTAGTGAAATTTTGAGCGATTAAAGCTTAGCACCAAGACTTTGGGGATTAAAAAAAAAATAAAAAAAAGACTTTTGGGATATCCTATGTAAAAGGAATGTATCATAATAATTTATATAGTGCTTTAAGGTTTTCAAAGTGCTTTACAAATATTATCTCATTTTATTTTCAACAACCCTAGGATGTGGGTGCTGTTATTATCATCCCATTTTACAGATGAGGAAACCTCAGGCAGATAGAGGTTAAGTGATTTGCCCAGGGTCACACAGCTAGTAAATGTCTGAGGCAAGATTTGAACTCACATCTTTCTGAGTCCAGGTCTAACACTCTATCCACTACACCACCTAGCTAAATATCCAGCCCTAACCTCTTTTCTGAGTTCTAATCTTGTTTCATCAACTGCCTTTTGGACGTTTAGAATTGGATGTGCTGTGGGCATCTCAATATGTCCAAAAGCAGAACTCACTATCTTTCCCCCAAACCCTCCTTTCTACTGTTGAGGGCACCACTATCCTTTAGTCACTCAGGCTTATAAGCTCACTGTCATTTTCAAGTCCTCACTAGCACTCCACCCCACATATCCAATCTGTGTTGAAGTCCTGTCCTTTCTACTTTCACATCTCTCAAACATTCCCTTCTCTCCTCTGACACTGCCCCCCACCTGCACTATTGCAATAGCCGGAAGGTTTATCTCCTTGCCACAGATCTCTCCCCACTCAGTCTTTCTTTCACTCAGCTGCTAAAGTAGATCACCACACTACTCAGTAAACTCCAGCGACTCCCTGTTGCCTTGAAGATGCTGTTTGGCATTTAAAGCCCTTTGCCTGGACCTTTGCTCTTTGCAGTCTTTTGTACTCTCCTCCCCTCCCCACACTCTACAATTCAGTAATGCTGGCCTTTTTGCTGTTCCTCCCATGCAACACTCCATCTCCTGATCGCATTTTCCTTGTTGGTTCTTCCATACCTGGAATGCCCTGTCTCTTTACTTCTGCCTCCTGGTTTTTTCTGGCCTCCTTCAAGATTCAACTCAAATCCTACCTTCTGCAGGAGACCTTTCCCTTCCCTTCTCTAAGTGTCTTCCCTCTGAGATTATCTTCCATTTACTGTCTATCTGTGTGGATACCCACATATGTGTATGTATATATATATATATATATATATATATATATATATATATATGCATACATTGTATGTATGTATTTATTGTGCTCCTGACCTTTAGTGGAACATAGCGAGCACTTAACTGCTTCTTGTTGTAGCCATAAAGAACTACAAATCCTGGCCAGCCAGTGCCTCTCCAGAGGAGGTTCAGGGTTCTGAAAAGGGTTTCTTTTTCTTTGATTTTTTTCACTTCTAGTCTATTAAAAATGATTCTTTGACACGTGGTGTCCACCAGCAGTGGGTGCCTAAGGTATGTGCCAAGCTCTTTGAGTTTCTTTCGGGGTGTATTCACCCTTTCAGTGCTGTCTCTTCTTTGGGAGCGTAGATGTCCTTTCCTTACTCTAGAGAGAATATCTGCACCATCTAATCCAATCTGTCTTGGCCTCTCCCCCCTCCCCCCACCCCCATCCCTTGTGTCCTTTACATGCTGTGTTTCATTTAAGACAGTTCACAAAGACATACTTGACAAAAGTTTTAATCAGAATGGTGGAAATCAATGACAGGTTGATATGCCCACGGTGGGCATTTGCAAGCCACAAGCCCCTCCCATCCAGACACAATCATCCAGTTCCTAATCAGTCCCACCGGGAGTAGGCAGAGCATTTATTCTGGGCTTTTTCCTCACAGAGCCACCCTGGGGAATTTTTTTGCTTTACATCGTATCATTTCAATGCAGGATCTCTCTGGAAAAGCAGCACCAGGTGTTGTGCTGGTAGATTGTCATTAGCTTCCAAGGCATCCGTGTTCTGCACCCCATTGCCTTTCTTCATGTAACATTGCCATCCACTTTGGCTGAGCAACACCTTGTGTTTACACTCCCTTGCTTCAAGGGCTTGTATTTAATTTTGTTTCATTTCATTCCATTTCTGTCCCTTTAATACTATGCAAGTCTGAGAGTTTCCCTTCCACAAGGGCCATGAGCCATCTGGCTGTCACAGCCCTGTCAAAAGGCATCTGATGTGGGGAAACACAGGCAGGGAACCATTTTAGTTATCTCTCTCATTGGGTTCAAACTTGGGCCCCTCTTCAGTTTCTGCCTCTCCAGGTGGTGGGCACTGCGAGAGCTCTCTGGGAGGGGCATGACTGAGATACAAGTGTTAGAGGAGAGATCTACAGGATTAGAGACTGTGAGAGTTGACAGGGGCCTCAGCATCCTTGTGGTCCAGCCTACACACGCAAGGAATGCTCCCGGAAATGCACCATTACTGAATGCCGAGCTGGTGGGAGGCGGATTCCATTTAACACTAGCCTTTCTCTTGCATGGCTTCTTTTCTCTGCTTAGAACTATTCTGTTTCTATAAAATGGGTAACTTTTTAACTAAGAGTTCAATTGTAAATACATATAAAGATTACTTGTTTTGCTTGGGGAAAAAAAGAGATGTAGCTGGCTGATAGGAACTAAGTAGCGGGAAGAGCTCAGAGCCTGGCAACAGAGGATTTAATACTTGGAAGGGGAAATGGAGGCATCTGCATATGTACTGGGAGCCACATTCTCCCTCCCCTCTCACTTGTAGGACTCTGGGAAGGCACAGGGAGCCTACTTGCTGACCCCCAACTGCCCTTTATCCTGCAGACAACCCTCCTTAACTGTCCCAACACTCTACCTCCTTGAGGACCCCAAAGGCACCTTTTACGTCATAGGGCACAGACACCGCCTCTCCTCATCCCTCAGCACCAGCTAACAGCAACAATGGGATGTTTTGATGGATTTCTTTCCTTTGCATCTAATTTGAGAGTGGAAGAGGCTATATCTCCAGCCCAGTCACATACCAGGATACCTGGAAATACCTGCTTCCGCCTCTTCCCCCCCCCCCCCCCAAATATCCCAGTGTCAGCTGTGGTGACTGGGTATTCTTTCCTCGAAGCTGAGAAGAGAAGGGGCCTGACAGTTTGGTGAGAGGGGCTGCTGATGGCAGCTGGCTCTCCTTTGCCTCCAGGTAGGGGGAAGGGCGCAGTAGGATTCACTAGCATCCTAGATGTACAGGTACAGTGAAGATACTTCCTGGGTTCAGGTATAAGGTCAAATGTGAAGATGTCCTTGTGATAAGGCCCCATCCCCACAGGGTGGGACTGTTTTGTCTTGTCCTTCTCCTCTTTCTCCCCCAGTCCTTCCTCAGCCCCTACCCTTCTGGGGCACACTCATGATGAAGTCAACATTTTTAGTTTTTGTGGGTCATATTCTAAAACTGGTGACATTCTAAACTTGATTCTTTAAGGATATGAAGATTTTTTTTGACATTTTGTGAGCAAATTGTAACATTCTAGGATTACATTATTCTCAATTCAATAATATTCTCCTTTTCCATAGTGTTAATGTTTTCAGAGAGAAAATTTGATCTCTGAGGCCTGCTTTCACGGAATTCTCCCAATTTTGGTAAATTATTGTCCTCTTTATGACATAGCTGAGGGCTGCAGGGAATGCATGGAACGCCCCAGCACTGCACCTGCGCTGCCTTTCTTACTCCCTACTGCAAGGCAGGTATGATAGATCTTAGTGACCTGAAGAGAGAGGGAAGCATATGAATTGATGACTGGGGCCTCAGCATCCCAAGCTTGGGGGGCCCCACTGGCCACAAGACTGCTTCCCCTTCCCATCGAGGCACATGCTGCTGGCCTGCGGCTTCATTTAATTTAGAGGTGCCATAGAGCTCAGTTGTAAGAAAAAGAGTCAAATCTGTGGCCACGCTGCTGCCCCAGATCTGGAATCTCCTCTCTCAGTTTGGATAAACTCTTTCATTTATAAGCCATAATCAATATATAGTGGCTTCATTAAAAAAAAAAAAGACTAGCCCAAACATAAGGAAAAAGGTTTCTGAGCTTCTGGATGGGATGTTTTACCCCTAATCGTGTTTAGACTCCTCCTCCCGCTTTGCCTCCCACACTTCCTTTCTGGGGGGCTGGAGCAATAGTCCTTAAGTACTTGTCTTTCCCTTCCTTGCCCCTCCAAAGGTCACAGGCTGTGCTCTGCAGTGACTGTCCAATACTGGCTCATATATCTTCCCTCAGGGTTCTAGGAGTAGCCCTGAAAGGTTGGCATTGTATTCTCCTCAATATCTACCCCCCCCCCCCGGTGATTTGCTTGATCATCATTGCCTGCATTTCACCAGTTGACTTCAATTTGCTGTTATAAAGGTCTATTCACTGAGAAGATACAGCAAGAACAGAAGTCTGTTTTCTCCCCCAAAAGCCTCTGTCCCACTTTGGTCCCCGAGGAGAGTGGGGTCCAACTCAAAGCCTTTGCTACAGCGCATCCTGAACGTGGCACAGCCAATGGGCAGAGTCACTTTCTGGCGTCTTGGCAGCTGAGCTGGATCCCCGTCGTTCCGTGGGACTGTGTTGGCAGACCAGGCTAGGCAGATTACAGACTTTGCCTTGGACTCCAGCTCTCACGCTTCTGGCCTTTCGAGGGCACTAGATCCATGCCATCTTCAGTGTACGTTCACCTAAGGCAGGGAGGAAACAGCCACAGGGCTGTGGGTGAGATAAGTAGGCTCTTGGTACTAGCGCTCTCTGCCTACCTAGAGACTTAGGGTAGTCCTTGCCTCCTCAAACACAGCCAGGCAGGACTGAAAAAGAAATAGCATCCCTTTTGCTCATAATACCTTTTGAATGTACGCCCGGTTGTGGCTTAACAGCTTCCTTTACTATGTGGTCAGTGGACTGGAGATGTATAGAATACCCACACACACTCCAAAGTCAGGGAGCAGGGCATGCCCAGAAGCAGATTCCTCAGCCTTCACGTGTGGCCCTCTAGGCCCTCGGGTGCAGCCTTTTGACTGAGTCCAAGTTTTACAGAACAAATCCTTTTATGAAGGGGATCTGTTCGGTGAAATTTGGATTCAGTCAAAGGGCTGCACTTGAGGACCTAGAGGGCCATGTGTAGCCTTGAAGCCACAGGCTCCCTACCCCTGGGCTAGCCTCTCTTCCCTTTCTTTCCTACTCCTTCTTTCTCTCCTTCCTTCCCGGTTTGCCTTCCTCCCTCTAGTTGCTTCCAGTTCTCTCTTTTTCCTTCCTGCTCTCCCTCTCCCTTCCTTCCACCTTTCCTTCTTTTCTTGTTCATTCCCTCCATCCTGCTCTCTTTCCTGCTCTCCTTCCTTCCCTCATCCTCCTCCCCCTTCAACCTCTCCTTCCTTGCCTCCCTCTGTTACTGTTTTCTTCCTTTATGATTCTTTTCCTCCCTTCTTCCTTCCTCTCTGCTCCCCCCCCCCACTTCTGCCTCCTTTCTAACCTCCCTCCATCTGTAATGGGAGCCTGGACAGCAGACCTGCAACAGGTATAGAATGTACATATTCCAGCTTGGGGAGCTGAGCCCTTCCATTACATAGCATTATTCTTTTGCAGGTTCCCCAGTCTCTTCCATGTGGTCTGACAGTCCATGCTTTGAGGATGGTGTTCCATTGGCCAGGCCCCATTATATCCCCATCTCTCCTTTCCCTCCTTCCTTCCTTCTCTCTTCACCTTTGTCTCTGTCTTTCCTTCCCTCCCTCCCTCTCTCCTTTTCCTATTGTGCCTCCATCCCACTGTCCCTCCCATTTATCCTCCCACTTCCTCTCTGCTTTTCCTCCCTTCTTTCTATCCTTCCCTTTTTCGCTGCTTTCCCTCCCTCCAGCTTTCCATCTACTCCTTCCTTCTTTTTCACTCTTACCTTCCTTCCTTTCTTGCCACTGCTTCTTTCCTTCCCATTCTACTGAACTCCCTCACTACCTGTCTCTCTTCCATTGGTTCTTATCCTTCCTCCCCCTCTCCTTTCAGCTCTTCCTCCCCCACATGGATCCCTTCTTCCCTTTCTTCCAGTTATGTCTCCTTCCCTGTCCCTTCTATTGATTCTCCCACCCTCCCTTCTAATCTCTTTCTCTCTCTTTCCCTCCTGGTCTACTTTCCTCCCTTCCATTTTTTTGCTCTTTCCCTCCTTTCTTCCTTCATCTTTCCAACCTTGCTTCCTTCTTGGCCTCCTTGTCACTGCATCTTTTTCTCCCTTGTGTTTTTCTTTACTTTCTCCCCTCTAATTTTCTTCTTTTTTGCCTCCTTTTATAGTTCTGTCTTCCTCTCTCTCTCTCTCTCTCTTCCTCCCTCCCCCCCTCCCTTTTTTTACTTTCTTGAATTGTAAATTTTTATTGGCATCATTTTCATATATCACCAATGTCCCACTTAAAAAGACAGGCTAGATTCTCTGCCTCTCTTTTCTAAGGTGGTCTTTTTGTTGAGACCCTGCCAGATTTCCCCTGGATTTCTCAAGCTCTCCCCCTCTCTTCCTCAGCTGCACCGGCTCATCTGCCTTCCAGTTGTCAACTTACTCCTCCAAAAAAGGATCCAGTTGCAAGAAACACTTCCCACTGGGCAACTAGCATCTGATTCGAAGCCTCTGGATCTCCTGGACTCATGAGGTATTCACCAAGGCTGAAAGTGTTCATCTCTCAGGATTGCTGTTTGATGACCTGTGGCTAGGGAAATAGGTAAAAAAAAAAAACCCAAAGAGATTTGTCTGAGGTTTGTCTCGTGCTGACCAGGTAAGCCCATATTCCTGTAGCTACCACAGCTGCTGATGGGAAGGTAGAAGAGAGAGAACCCCCTCCCAGCCCTGCCTCCCCCAATGATAAGTCTGAGGGAGAGCTGGCAGAATCAAAGTAATGAGTCTACTCTGAAAGGGCCTCTGGGCTCTTTTTACCCTCCCCTTCCCCAGCACTGTGTCCCTCCCCAACTATGTTTCTGTCTCCTTCACTAGCATCTTCCTCCTCCTCCTTTCCTCTCTCTCTGTCTCTCTGTCTCTGTCTCTCTCTCTCTCTCTCTCTCTCTCTCTCTCTCTCTCTCTCTCTCTCTCTCTCTCTCGTTGCCTCCAATTCTATCTCACTGTCTTCTTGCTGTAGTCTCACTGTCTCTCCTCCCTCTCTCACTCTCTCCCTCTTACTTTTTTTGGCTAGGCAGTGGGGTTAAGTGACTTGCCCAGGGTCACACAGCTAATAAGTGTTATGTGTCTGAGGTCAGATTTGAACTCAGGTCCTCGTGACTTCAGGGCTGGTGCTCTATCCGCTTCGCCACCTCGCTGCCCCATTCCTCTTACTTTTAGACTCTTTCTCTGGCTCTATGTCCCTCCATCCTTCAATGGTTTTGTCTCCTTTACTAGATGTCTTTTCCCCTCTTGTCTCTCTACATTCATGTTCCCTCTAATTTTCTCTTGCTCTGTTTCCCTTTCCTGGTTCCCTTTTCTCCCCAGCTCCATCTCTGGCTCTGGCTCTTTACCTCCATCCCTGGCTCTCCCCTTCTTGCCTTTTTGTTGTTGTTCCCTTCACCATTTTTTCACCCTACTATTCTTTCTCATACTGTCTTCTTGCCTGTGTAGTGGGGACCAGTACGTGGAGCATGAATGAGGATGGTCCTGGGCTCTGTGTCCTTTCATCACATTGCCCTGACCCCTTGCTAAAACACACACACACAATCAGTGGCTCCTCATTTGGCCCCCTGATTCAGGAAGGGCTGCCCACTGAGGACAAGTCGGTACCTTTCTTTCTCTTACTCTCTTTTAAGGAGGCTTGGGACTCTCCCTTGGATTTCCTTCCCTTCCCCTTCTCCCAGATGCAATGACCCATTCTCTGGACATATCCATCATCTCCGTCACTGGATCTTGGTTCCTCTCGGTCTGTCACTCCACCCATCCCTAGATCCCTCAGCCCCTCCCTCTGGACCTCCTTGATCATTACCTGTATTCCTCTATCCATAGATCCACTCCTTCTGTTACTTGATCCGTTGCATTTTCTCAGTCTGTTGTATAGCTCCATGTGGGTCTGTCTTGGTCTCTCCTGACCCTCCTATTCTTCTATCTTCCTTTCCCTCCCAGGCTCTTCTGTTCTTCCCACTCTCATTCTACCCTTCCCTTTTGTCTGCTCTTTCAGCCTGTGTACCTCCTTCCTGGTATCCACACCTAAGTCCCATCTGTCGCTCCAAATAATCCATCAGTCCCTGCCTAAGCCTCTCCATTAATCCATATCTCCCTGTATCATCGACCACTTCCAGTATAGGTTTTTCTAAGCATGTAATTCTGACTTGGTACTTTAGTTTACCCTTCCGTTTCTCACTTTGGTTGTCTTTCTAAGCATCTAAACCTCACTTTGTAGATTTGTCTTTTCACCTGTCCCTCGATGTCAGGATCTCAGCATACATTCCATGTCTAATTCTTAAAATCTTCCTTTCCTGGCTCTCTGTGTTTCTTGACCTGTCTGTCCACCCTTTACTGGTAGGACTTCTCCTTTCATGTATATTCACTGTGCTGGTATCTCCAGACAAGAACCTCTCACTTGGTACAGTTCTCTTTCCGGGCATCCCTAACTTTTTGGTTGCTAACCATCCATCTCTCATTTTACCAATTTCTCCATTCATCCATCTCTTACTGTCTAGTTTGCTCTTCCATTCATCCCTTGCCTTTTTCTTTTAACCATTCATTCTTTTATGCCTCCCAAGACCTTTTCAAACATCAGTCTCTGAATGTTTAGGTCTTGCCATTCATTCACCTGTCCTTGTCTAGATCTCTGTAGTCATCTATTTTTCAATTTCTATCTCTCTCCAATCACAAAACTGTCCACTTTTAAAAATTTATTTATTTATTTATTTTTAGTTTTCAGCATTCACTTCCATAAGATTTTGAGTTCTAAATTTCCTCCGTCTCCCTTTTTGATCTATACACTCACCCATCTCTGACCAAGTATGTCTTGTCTTTCATGTATTCTTCTCTGACAGTCTAACCATCCATTTCCCTTTGCCAAGCTATAAACATTCACTCATCTCTGCCTTGCCAATTTTCATTTCAACTATTTCACTTCATATGCTTCTTGCCAGTCATTCGTTTTCTACCATCTAGATTTCACTATCCTGTCATTTCTCACATTCTGGGTCTATCCATTCAGCCTTTTGCTAGTTAACCCCTAACCCTAAATTACCCTTTCTGTCCTTCTCAATAAATTCTCTCCTTCTCTGTTTCCCTTCATCTATTCATCTCTCACTCTCTAGGTATACCCATTCATCCATCACTCAGAGGTTGCATTTCTCACTCAGCTGGTCTTTCTAAGTAGCCAAACATCAGTTATCCTTCTCTCTCTTAACCTGTTTCTCACTCTCTGGATCGCTCCAAACATTCCCTATTTCCTTTTCAAGCTCTCTCCTTTCACGCTTTCCTGCCTATCCCTGTTTCACTGCTCAGGCCTCTGCTTTCACACATACCTCAAAGTGCAGCTATCTCCAGCCAGGAATCTCTCACTCACTACAACTCTCTTTCCATACATCTCACCCACCAACCATTTCTCATTTTCCCATTCTCTTGATTGAGCTATTTCTTACTGTCGATTCTTTTTTCATAATTTTCTTGCATAGCTCTCATTTTCCCCTAATTTTTTCTCTACCATTTTTATTTGATTTTCTAAATTATTTATTTATTATTTGTTTGTTTTTGGCTAGGCAGTGGGGTTAAGTGACTTGCCCAGGGTCACACAGCTAGTGAGTGTTATGTGTCTGAGGCCGGATTTGAACTCAGGTCCTCCTGACTCCAGGGCCGGTACTCTATCCACTGCAGTGCCACCTAGCTGCCGCTTTTTTGCTTTTTTAATCTCCTTCTTTATCTCTTCTAGGAATTCTTGTTGAGCTGCTGTCAATTCTGCATTTTTTCCCTTGAGGCTTTACTTGTAGATGTTTTCAAGTCATTGTCCTCTTCTGAATTTGTGTCTTGAGCTTTCCTGTCACCAAAGAAGCTTTTTATGGTCATCTTATTTTTTTGTTATTTGTTCATTTTTCCAGCTTACTTCTTAATTTTGGACTTTATGTTAGAGTAGGGCTCTGCTCATCTCTGGGGACAATGACTGGCCTGAGTTTCTGTCTTTTATGTCCTGCTGCTGCTCTCTCAGCTTGGTCTGGGGGCATGGATGTTTTTGGTGCTTCCAAGATGTTGTAATCTGGGGAGTAGTTTGGTCACTGCCCTCCTGATCTGTGCTCTGGTCCTTGGCCCAGATAATTCCCTTGTTCCGTCATGACAATAATTGTTCCTCTCTGCCCTGGAACTGTGACCCAGACCAGGTAGTAGGAGATGGAGCTGCCAAATGATACCTGAACCTGCAGCCAGTGCTAGTCGAGAGGACCCTGGAGATCTCTTTGTGCCCACTTGTTCAGTCCCCTTACTGGCCTGGGGACAGAGCTGCTTTATGCTACGGCTCCCACCACAGCCATAGCCCAGTGCTGCCACCACCACCCAGGGCTGCCTCAGCTGTTCTTTATTCCTGGCCAGCCCCCACCCCATTGTTTGCATATGTCTCTTTCTGTCTTCCAAAGCTGCTGTGGGCCAGAAAAATGTCTCACTGTTACTTTCTCTTGGATCTCTTGAATTTCTTGGTTCTCTTGGATTTCCTGAATTTCTCTGGATTCAATTTGCCATGTTTTCTGTGATCACTGTAGAAGCAGTTTTGGGGGAGCTTCGGCCATTGTGACCCTTCGCTCTGCCATCTGGACTCTGCCTTCCAGATTTTACTGTCCAGATCCCTTTTCCTATTCATTACTTGCTGCTTACATGTAGTCATTCATTCTTCTGTGCCTCTGCAGGTCTCTTCAGTCATCAGTCTCTCAATGTTTAGGTCTTGCTGTATTCATCTCTTCTTGTCATTCACTTTTCACTCTCTGGCTCTTTCCAGTCACAATAGTCTCCCCACTTTTGTCTATATTCATCCATCTGTCACTATCTAGGTCTTGCCATCCATTCATGTCTCCTTCCCTCAGTTGGTCTAAAGATCCCTTTGTCCATGGCTATGTCTAGCCATTCATTCATTTCAGCCTTGCCAGTTCTCAATTCAGCCATCTTGCATTGCAAAACTCTTGTCATTCATCCATTTTCTACAATTTTGATTTTACTATCAATCACCTTTCATGTTCCAAAGCTCACTCTGTTGATTTCTCCGTTCACCTGTCTCTCACTGTTAGGATCGCTGCAAACATCCATATCTTCTTCTCAAGACCTTTCCTTCCATGCTTGCCTACCTACCTATCTGTGTTTCCACTGCTGTCCATCCTTCACTGTTAAGGCTTGTCTTTTCATACAAATGTCATTGTACATGTATCTCCAACCAGGAATCTCTCATTCACTACAATTCTCTTTCCATACATCTCTCACTCTCTTGGTATCTCTCTCTCTCTTTTTTTAAGGCAATTGGGGTTCAGTGACTTGCCCAGGGTCACACAGCTAGTAAGTGTCAAGTGTTTGGTCTGAGGCCGGATTTGAACTCAAGTCCTCCTGACTTCAGGGCCAGTGCTCTATCCACTGCGCCACCGAGCTGCCCCTCTCTTGGTATCTCTTACCATCCATCTCTCATTTTCCCACTTTCTCCATTCAGTCATCTCTTGACATCTTTGACATTCTTCCACTTGTTCCTGGCCTTTTGGTTCTAGCCATCCATCATTCTAGACTTCTCTTGTTCTGTTTTCATAATGCAGAATTTTCTCCATACACCCATCTCTCTATACATCCATCTCTCACATTTTGGGCACCCATTCCTGTCTCTTTCTCTAAGACAGTTTAACCATCATTTCTCTTTCACTAGTCTAACTATTCATTTGCCTCTGCCTTGCCAATTCTCAATTCATCCATCTCACCCCTGCATAACTCTTGCCATTTATCAATTTCTTACTATCTCGATTTCACTATCATTCACCCCTCATATTCTGGGTGTCTCCATCTACCCTTTTGTTAGGGTTTCCATAGCTCTGTCTTTCTCAAGCCTTTGTTCTCTCCCTGTCTAATTCTGTTTATCCATTCATCCATCCCTTCCAAATTAGGTTTCTCTAAGCACATAACTCTCACTCATTTCTTTTTTTTTTTTTTTGGTAAGAAACCAGTTTATTTTCCATCAGCATTTTTCCAACACTATTAGAGCATGTGGGGTAAAACTTAAGACCACTCTGTGGTAGTTCCTACCCACTTGGTGGCCTGAGCAGTAGGAGCCTCAGACCAGTCCTCCGTAGCTGGCTGAGCACTCCAATCTTTGGTAGGGAACTGCTGAATGGGCATAGATGGCACCTGTAGTCCCTCAGACCAATCAGCCACCTCTGGTTGAGTAGCAGTGAATTCTGGGGCAGGTGCAGTCCATTCACCCTGGAACTCCTCCTTTGTCACGTCCTTCTCAGCTGCGGCCTGCTCTTCCTTTTCAATCTCCTCTGGATCCCTGTAGGAGTAAAGATCGGGCATGACCTCCCATGGGTGTTCATGGGAAATGGTACCACGCATATGCAGGACTTCACGGGCCAGCATCCACCACATCAGACCAACTGAGTGAGCTCCCTTGTTGTTACATGGAGTGGCAATGTCCACATAGCGAAACTGTGTTGCACAATGCAATGGTTGGAAGGTTAACGTACGATGCTTCAGTAAGAGGCTGGTGATCTGCCTGAGGATCAGTGACCACCAAGAGGCGAGGCTCCCTGAAAGCTGCCTGGATCTGGTTAGTGAAGGTGCCCAGTGTGAAATGTCCAGCAATAGGTGTGGCGCCAGTGGCAGCAGCAGATTTCAGAACAGCTTGCTGGCCAGTCAGTGTTCCTGGATGAGATGACACTAACATCAGCTGGATTTTCAATGGCAACAATAGCACGAGCTGCCAGCAAAAGCTTTTCCCAAGTTCTCTTCAAATTGATGATGTAGATACCATCACTCTTTCTTTTGTAGATGTACTGTTCCATTTGGAAGTCCAAATTGGTGCCACCCAAATGGGTCCCTGCAGCAAGGAATTTGAGGACATTCTCCTCCTTCATCTGCAAGACATCTAGGGCTCCGGACATTGTGAAAGTTTCCCTTTAAAGTTATGACAGAAATCGAGAACAACGCCGTATGGAACCCTCCACGGGGCAGCGCGGAAGAAAGCTCACTCATTTCTTCAATACAGCCATCCATCTTTTAATCTGGTCTGATTTCTAAGCGTCCAAATCTTATTTGGCGAATTATCCATTTACCTGTCTCTTACTGTCTGGATCTCTGCAAATATCCATTTCTCCCCAAGATCTCTCATTTCATCCTTCTGCCTATCTGTATTTCCATTGCTATTGATCCTTAACTGTTAAGGCTTCTCCTTTCACTCATACATGCATCTCTAGCCATGAATCTTTCACTTGGTACAACTCTTCATACATCTCTCAATTTATTAGTTTCTCTTACCATCGATATCTCAGTTCCCCAGTTTCTCCACACATTGATCTTTTGATGTCTTCTACACTCTTCCATTCATTCCTGGACTATGACTTCTAGCCATTCATCATTCTAGCTTTTTCTTGGTCTGTTCAACCATCAGTTTTACAATGCCCAATTCTCTCCATTCATTCATGCCTCACTGTCTAGGCATGGGCACCTATTTGTGTCTCCTTCTCTAAGACAATCTAATCATTCATTCAGCTCTGCCTTGCCAATTCTCAATTCCTCCCATTCACACTGCATGACTCTTGCCATTCATCCATTTCCTGCTATCTAGATTTCACTATTGTTCACCTCTAATATTCTGGGTCACTCTATTCACCATTTTGTCCCTTCCCCTCCGATCTACCTGTTGAGTAAGACAGATTTCTGCACCCAACTGAGCGTGTACATATGTTCTTGCCTTTTTGAACCAGTTCAGTTGAGACTGAGGTTCAAGAGTTACCTGACCTGTCCCTGCCATTTTCTTCTTCATTTTAAATACTCTTTCTTGTGCACCTCTTTTATGTGAGATAATTTCCCCCATTCTTCCTCTACCTTCCCTCTCCTCTCAATGCATCCCTCTTTCTAAACTTACCATTCTTTTTTTTGAGACCATTCTAACATATTCCACTCACACCTGTACCAATCTATGGAGATCCCTTCTAACTGCCTTAATAGTGATAAAGTTCTTAGGAGTTACATGTATCATCTTCCCATCTAGGAATGTAAACAGTTTCAGCTTATTAAGTCCCTTATGATTTCTCTTTCATGTTTACCTTTCTGTGCTTCTCTTGAGATTTGTGTTTGAATGTCAGATTTTCTATTCAACTTTGGTCTTTTCATCAGGAATGCTGGTGAATCCTCTATTTTGTTAAGTGTCTATTTTTTCTCTTGAAGGATTATACTCAGTTTTGCTGGGTAGGTTATTATTGGTTGTAATCCTAGCTCCTTAGTCTTTAGGAAATCACATGAGAAACCTTCTGCTCTTTTATCCTGGTAGCTACTAAATCTTATGGGACCCTGACTGTGGCTCCAGAGTATTGAGTGTTTTCTTTCTACATGCTTAAAGCATTTTCTCCTTGACTAAGGAGCTCTAGAATATGGCTGTTATTCCTGGGAGTTTCATTTTGGTATCTTTTTCAGGAATTAACTATGGATTCTTTCAATTTCTATTCTAGTTCTAAAAAGTGTGGGCAGTTTTCATGTATAAT